ACTTGGAAGGATGTCTGAGACATATGTTTGGCAGAAAAAGAGTAGGTTAGGAAAGAGCATGAAGAGTTTAATTCTGTATACAACATGGAATACTATGCAGCCATAAAAAATGATAAGCTCATGTCCTTTGTAGGGACATGGATGAATCTGGAAACTATCATTCTCAGCAAACTGAGAACAGAAAACAAGAACAGAAAATAAAACATTGCATGTTCTCACTCATAGGCGGGTGTTGAACAATGAGAACACATGGACACACGGAGGAGAGCATCATACACTGGGGTCTGTTGGGGGGCAAGAGGGGAGAAACAACAGAGGGTAGGGAGATTGGGGAGGGATAACATGGGGAGAAATGCCAGATATAGGAGGCAGCAAGCCACATTGCCATGTATGTACCTAAGCAACAATCCTGCATGTTCTGCACATGTACCCCAGAATCTAAAGTGCAATAAATATATATATATATATAAAGAACTTATCATGCAATGTTTAAATGCAAATGTATAACAAATTCAAAATGCAAATGGGTATATGCCAAATTCTGTAATAGGTCTATCCCAAAAGGATAACATGTTCAATTTAATATAAACAAATTATCCTCTGAAAAAAAAAGTTTATTTATATAAAACTTTATAATTTAATATATAGTTTATAGTTTTATAGTTTAATTCCATTTATATAAAACATTATATATATAACCAAAATGTTAACAGTAGTTATTTCTAGGCAATGGTATTTCTTTATATTTTTTAATATTGTTTGACGGTTTCTTTTTATAGTGAGCATAACTTTTATAATAAAGAGATAGAAAACTATATTCATGTTGGAAAACATGACATAAGGATTGCCTTTCTTTTCATCTGGTGGGACTATTGCCAGAGACTACTGAATTCCATTTTTGTTTTCTTTTTTTTAAGAAACATACAAGAAATGCCCATTCCTTTTAAAATCATCAGTTATTTTACATTCCAAAAATATTGCAGTGAGATTCTTGTAGTCAATGAGTTCTACGGACTGAATTTCACTTGTGGTAAGTATTCTATTTGGGGATATTATTTTTACATGTTACTCTGAGGTAGCAATTTCTTAGAGGAAATGTATTTTTGAAATAAAAGCTGTGTTTTATAATAATTCAATTTAAAACTCTGTTTTGAAATACAGCCTAACATTTTCTCTGATTTTTTTTTTTTTTTTTGAGACAGAGTCTCACTCTGTCACCCAGGCTGGAGTGTAATGGTGCAATTTGGCTCACTGCAATCTCTGCCTCCTGGGTTCAAGTGGTTTTCCCTGGCTCAGCCTCCTGAGTAGCTGGGATTACAGGTGCCCGCCACCATGCCTGGCTAATTTTTGTATTTTAGTAGAGACAGGGTTTTGCCATGTTGGCCAGGCTGGTCTCAAACTCCTGACCTCAGGTGATCAGCCCACCTCAGCCTCCCAAAGTGCTGGGATTATAGGGGTGAGCCACCATCCCCAGCCTCTGATTTTTAAAATGAAAGAAAATATGCAGTGGTCAAATTAGTCTCCTGTCAAAGGTCAATAGGTAAGGGCCACTTTGATGTTGTTAAAAAATGACAGGCCTTATGTACACTAAGACTCAGATAGACTTCCAGATAGACTCAGTTCCTGCATCTACTGAACACATTCAAGCAGGCTGAAGTGACCTCTTGTTCCCCAAAATGTACATTGTACTAGCTAAGTAAAGCCACTTTTGACAAAAGTCTATTCCTCAATCCCACCAGATGGAAGTAGGACCAGGACAAGGACCTTATGGCCATTAGAAATCTCAGGGTGGCCGGGCACGGTGGCTCACGCCTGTAATCCCAGCACTTTGGGAGGCTGAGGTGGGTGGATCATGTGAGGTCAGGAGTTCGAGACCAGCCTGGCCAACATGGTAAAACTTTGTCCCTACTAAAAATACAAAAATTAGCCAAGCGTGGCGGTGCATGCCTGTAATACAAGCTACTTGGGAGGTTGAAGCACGAGAATCACTTGAACCTGGGAGGCGGATGTTGCAGTGAGCTGAGATCGAGCCGTTGCACTCTAGCCTGGACGGCAGAGTGAAACTGGGTCTCAAAAAAAAAAAAAAAAAAAAAAAAAAACCCTCATGGCCACTCCAGAGACAACCAAAGAATATGGCTGAATTTAGTAGCTGTTTTAAATAAGTTTAGGTGATAATGTCAGTAACTTTAGGATAGCCCCTGCTAAGTGGTCATGATTTTTATCACGAATACGTAATGAATCTATACGCAAAACAGAAGCAAAAACATGTCCATCTTCAAATGAAGCCAAAGCCCAGAACTGCTCACTCTTGCCTCATCAAATTGTAAATTCTGGGCTTGCTAAAGTGTCCTGTATTTTTCATTAAGAAGGGTACTTAGCAAGCATTTGGTAAATACTTGTTGATTAAATTACCTGAGATAAACCATACCTGACACTGTCAATCTTTTCCTTGGCAGGCAGCGCAAATGTTTCTGTGACAACTAATCCAATGTGTGCCTTCACTCAAGGAATTCAGTTCATTGAGCAAACCTGCCCAGGTGCAACATCTAGATTCACAATGAACTTTCTGGTTTTGTATTCATTTATTCCAGCTCTTGTCATCCTAGGAATAGTTGTTTTCAAAATAAGAGATCATCTTATTAGCAGGTAGTGAAAACCATGGCTGGGAAAATGGAAGTGAAGCTGCTGACTATGCATGACTGCTCTGAATGTGTGAAATGAGAGTGCCATGTATTTCTTTCTAGATAGGACATCTTAAGTCTTTTAACCATTAAGACTCCATTTGTGCCTCTTGGATCCACGCAGGCCCTGAATGCAGTGGAAATGGTTCAGTCCCTTGCTGAACGTGTGGTATTTGGAAGTTTGTGACTGAGCTGGCCCAAAAATGTAAATAATAATCATTCATAAAACAATGGGAGACTCGTCTATTTTTTCCCCTTGTTCTAGACACAGAAAAAAATAAGTCAGCTTAAAAATATGCTTACATTTGGTAAAGGATTAGGCAAAAACAAAAGGTTTGAAGGATCACTGACTATAAGTGACAGAAAAAAAAAGTTGTGGGTTTAGCTGAAGCAAGGTTATCATGCAGAATTGGGTAAGAATGCTTCTGTTCATGGAAAACCCAGAGTTAAATGCACATGTCCACACGAGGGGTTGGAGTTACCTGATTGCATCGAGAGAATGCTGGGCAGATGGATAATGAGCACCAGTGTGACAGAGCACCCGGTGACTTTACTGAGGATTAAAATAAAAACTGTAGGAGTGGGCTCAACAGTGAACAAAACACACCAGACAAACCTCTGGTTATGTTTTTAAAGATTCGTTTGCTATTTTCCACTTTCAGCTGAGTTTACTTATAGAATTACAAGTAAACGTTTAAGTGTATGCACTGAGAAATAACCTCCTTAAGGTTGGAGATTAGATGTTAAAGTCCATGTAGAAAAAATGCTGATGTAGCTAGACATGGTATCTCACGTCTGTAATCCCAGAGGCTCAGGAGGCCGATGTGGGAGGATTGTTTAAACCCAGGAGTTAGGGGCTGCAGTGAGCTGTGATGGAACCACTGCGCTCCAGCCTGGGCAACAGAGACAGAGCAAGACCTTGTCTCTGAAAAAGAAGGAAAGAAAGTGTTGACATACTATTTACAAGAAGAACAGGGTACACACTAGAAATTCACATTCTTGAACTGTAAAGAGCGCTGATATGTATAAATACAGACACTTGTATTACATATTTTCAACGATAAAATGATGTAAATAGGTTACTAAAAATGGGTTCTGTATTAAAATGACTGATTCTGATTGATCTTCAAGTAATTCATGTACGAACCCAAAATGAAACTGTCTCAATGTTACTATGGTAACTTTGGGTGAGAATATGGTAGAGAGGACATGAACTTGTTCACTTACTGTGACCTAACTTGTGAAGAAAGATAAATTATAGCATTTGAATGTCACACACTGAAGTAGGAAAGATCATTTCATTAAGGAAACCATAGTAAAATTCTTTCTTAGAACAGTATTTAAGGATGTGGAGGAATTGGTAAATTATCAGACTAGTATTGTCAATTTTTATAAAAGGTCTTTGACATGGATGATTATGGTATAATAGTTACACAATGTCTTACAGATTATATATGTCACATCAGTTATAGACAATTCTGGAGATGATAATCTATTAAAGCAGTTCAAAAAGAGTCCCACAGGAACCTCTTTTGAAATCACTGATTTCAACTTACTAAAGATATGGGTGTACAACATAAGTGGAAACATTTTCTACTATTCATATGCAGATGAATTTCATTCTAGCTCAGAAACATTTGGAAAACCGATATCACATGTGACTTCAACCTATTAAATGTTAGTGATACCAACTTAGAAAAACACAATGGCTTTCAATATGTGACAGTTTGTGTCTCAAGTCAAAAATGGACAGTGATGTGTAAGAAAATCAAATTACATAATAACAATTCCTATTACTCTTGTGGAATAGGCTGTTTCTTCCTACCAAGTCAGTGATATTTCTGAGATCATAATGTTCATTGTAAATTTAAAGGGATCTCTTTTCCCATAGCACTCAGCAAGAAACCTGTGCTTAAGACTGAGGTTCCTTGGAAACATACTGAAAATTGTTTTCAAGGGTTTTAGAACCACACATACTGCAAATAATTTATGAAGTCCTAGTTCATTGCAATAAGCAGATGGCGTGCTATCTGCACAGACACCCCTCCCTTGGGGTAGTAAATGTGCTTATCTGAAGCTGGGTGCATGGCATATTAGAGTCAACGTATTTTATAGGTGGACGTGGAAGAATACAGAATAATTTTTTTTTTTTTTAAGAAAGAGAGAAAGAAAAAGAATAAAAAAAAAAAATAAAGGAAAGGAAGAAAGAGGACGAGGAAGAGGGAGGGAGAACAGGGGTGTTGCTTTATTGCCCGGGCTAGAATGCAGTCTAAAACTGGGTATGCCGGAATAATTTTTAATCATAGCAATTATACTTACTCAAAATGAACTTGGTCAGCAGGTACACTACAGATTGGAATGGCTTCTTAAAGGCTATCCCACCTCGGAAATAATCCTGGTTATCCCCAACACATGATGTTTTGTCCTGCTTCTTGGTAGGATATCTCCTTAAATGTGCCTGTTCTTCAAAAAGTGATATTTAAAACAAATGTGTCAGTCTCACGGAGGGGTGAAATGGGTGCTGATTAAAAATGCCCCATTCCAGACCACTGATTGAGACTTTCTAGATGTGGGGACGCAGGAACGCACATCTCCTATTTCAGGTGCTTTTTGTACCTCACTGTTAGAGTAAAATTTTGACATCTGTGAACCCAATTCCGGTTTCATCCCAGCTATAGCTGAGAGTGCCTTTTGGAAGGAATGTGTCTAACATGGGCACTAAACCTTGCATGTAAAACTGTCAGCAAATACTCTCACTTTTATATTCTTAAAAACATATAAGCAGAAACTTATACATGCTGAATTGAACATGTTAAAGGTAGGTAGATTATTTTATTAAAAAAAATTACACATGGTTCTGAAATATTTTTTTCCTTTTAAAAAGCTTCAAGATATACAGGGAGATGCACTAGTTCAAGAAACCCAGCTTGTCCTTTAACAAATTATACAGTTTAACTTTCTTCACATATTATCACAATAGTTAATTCATAATATAATCTTATTTGGATTTGGAAAAGAAGATACAATAATTGAATTAGGCTCAAGAATCAAGTTCGATTTGTTTCCAAGACTTGGAAGAATTTCTTTTGTACTGTTCCAGTTCCTAAAACAAAAATATGTATTACTTTAAGAAAAATCAACTTTATGAATTCAAGGAGGCACCTTAAAATTGCCTTATCATTTCTTAGATATAATAATGTATCCTTAATAGCATTATCATTCTAAAGATTTCTTGACAATTATTTTATAAATGATTATGCTTAGGACTTATTTTCTAGAAATACAGTCTTCAGAGTTTCTGTGCTGCTAAGCAGCACTTAGAGATGCACTTATTAAACTTTTAAACAAAATTATGTACATAAACTACATAATACATATGAATTGCCTTTCAACTAATGAACTAGACATTTGTCATTCTTCAAGTATTTAAAGGTGATCTTATTTTTAATTGTTTGCTGGTCAGCTCTCATCAAAAACTTGGTCGAAGTAAGCAAAATATTTAAAAAATATATACCCAGGCTGGGTGCGGTGGCTCATGCCTATAATCCCAGCACTTTGGGAGGCTGAGGCAAGAGAATTGCTTGAGCCCAGGAATTCGAGACCAGCTTAGGCAACATAGGGAGACCCTGTCTCTACAAAAACTGAAAAAAAAATATAATAAAAAATCATGGTGGTGTGCGCTGTGGTCCCAGCTACTTGGGAGGCTGAGATGGGAGGATCACTTGAGCCTGGGAGGTCAAGGGTACAGTAAACTGTGATTGCACCACTGCATTCCAGCCTGGATGACAGAGTGAGACCCTGTCTCAAAAATGTGTGTGTGTGTGTGTGTGTGTGTATCCTTTGTCCCAGTGATTTTACTTTTAGAAATTTATCATACATAATAGAGCAACGCACAAGGATGTAAAGAGAAGGAAGATCATAACTCATGGTTCTATCTCAGCTCACAACTGGAAATAACTTTGATGTCCCCCAGTAAGGACTGATTAAAAAATTAGCGTTCATTCACAAGTGGCTTCCAAGGCAGCCAGCAAAAATAACAGTGGCCACATGAAAAGATAGTATGTGCCACATGAAAAAAGCACACAGGTAGGGAGAGGGCAGGTACTTCCATTTTCTATTTTCATACTTCTATATATTTTGAATTTTTTCACAATGAGTATATGTTACCATTACAATTCATCAATAAATTTTAGTGGAGGTGGATATCCGGCACAAAGCAACTGACATGAAAAGGGACCATCTAAAGGGATGCCTCCCGGCCTTCTACATGTTGTTCAATGTCTAAATAACTGTACAAAGGTTATTACCACTTCGGATAAACAAAACATGGTTACTCTGCAAGATAAGACAATCATTGCCCTTTGGCTAACATAATTGAAGTTGCTGTGAAAAGAAAAACCATTCTAATTTTCAGAAACACTGCAGATTGTGCCTTTCATACCTATACTCTAAGTTATTAAAATTTAAATGTTAGACATTTCAAAATGGTATATAGACTTTGGAAGAGTGTTTTTCTTGTTTTTTTTTTTTTAACTCCTCACTGGATTCTAGGAAGAATTTCCATGGTAATAATCATATGTAGTCTTTACAGCTTGGTTTATTTTTTTCTAATGAAGCTAATTCAGTTCACCAGTTATCTACCACTTGTGGTTTTAAAGATTAACTTATAAAGAATAAACAAATTGTTTATTGTAAACCTTGTCTTTAACTGGAAGTGCTGAATTATTATTGCCAATGACAAAGGTGAAAACGTTGTTTTGAGATTCTTTGCTAGTAGTATCTATCTCCCTTTTGCAGATAGCAAAGTATAAGAAAACTAGGGCTGTCACACAGGCCATGCCAGAGGGAGAAAAAGGAATAACCAGTGTGAGACAGAACCCACCAAGTCCACTAGATCATCAATATGACAATGATATGGCTCCAAAATAATATATTGTTGGTTTAAAGGGATAGCAAATGAAAAGTTTTCAAAAGATATCTGTGATTGGCCAAGAAGGCCTTAAAAACAAATGTTAACTGTAACTTTTTTTTTTCTTTTTTGCTTTAACAAAAATACAGAAAAGAAGCTGGGCACAGTGGCTCAGGCCTATAATCCCAGCACTTTGGGTGGCCAACTCAGAAGGAATGCTTGAGGCAAGGAGTTCAAGACCAGCCTGGGCAATAAAAAAATAAAACCTGGGCATGGTGGCGTGTGCCTGTAGTCCCACCTACTTGAAAGGCTGAGATGGGAGGATTGCTTGAGCCTTGGAGCTCAAGGCTGCAGTGAGCCATGATCTCACCCTTGCACTACAGCCTGGATGACAGAGCAAGACCAGTATCAAAGAAAAAGAAAAAAACACAAAAGAGGGGGAAGGGCTTAGCAAGTACTTTCCACACTCACATTCCTTTAAATTCGAGAATGCTTTAAAGCTAGTGGGCTTTTAAAAAGTAGAAAATACTACTGAAGTATTTTCTGGTGCCCATGTGAAGTTTGGCAAAAGACAGAACTTTGAATAATTAAAGAGAGCTAATCATGAAAGACCCTAAGTCTGTAAGAAACATGAAAAGGGTCTTCCTAGATCCTTGAGGACTGATTTCACAGACACAACTGGTAACAACATAAGGTCTCAAAACTACTCCTGAAAGAGTTTGAAATCATATTCAAATTAAAAATTTTGTGTAGCAGAATGTCAAAATTTAAATTCAGATTATCAATGAAAGAATTGAGCATCAACACTGATAATCATTAGGGTATCTTTAAAGCTAAAGCACAAATTATGTTAAGGTACTATGTGTGCAATCTGGATCAATGCAATTCATCTAAAACCACACTAATCAAACTGGTTTAAGAGGCAAACTTAGGATAGCACAACTTTTCAGGTAGGTTAAAAAAAAAATCTCGAACCAAGAGATGATAGGAATTGGTGATCTGCTGGCAGTGAGATACAAGAGATGAATGAAGGCCGGGCACGGTGGCTTAAGCCTGTAATCCCAGCACTTTGGGAGGCCGAGGCGGGTGGATCATGAGGTCAAGAGATCGAGACCATCCTGGTCAACATGGTGAAACCCCGTCTCTACTAAAAATACAAAAAATTAGCTGGGCATGGTGGCGTGTGCCTGTAATCCCAGCTACTCAGGAGGCTGAGGCAGGAGAATTGCCTGAACCCAGGAGGCGGAGGTTGCGGTGAGCTGAGATCGCGCCATTGCACTCCAGCCTGGGTAACGAGAGCGAAACTCCGTCTCAAAAAAAAAAAAGAGATGAATGAAGAGTGATATGGGTACTGTGGGGCTGCCTTCCTTTCCACACAAAATTCTTTTGGTTTTAAGTCATTTAGAGAAGATAGATTTGAATGTGAAAACTCATGATGCTCACAAATACCCTAATCCTTTAGTAATACTGATGTATATGAACTTAATAAAAGTGATCCTTATGCAACATAAACAGATATTCTTATCAACAATGACAGTTAATCATTGACTCCTTGATAAATATTAATCAGGGATGACTTCCAACTAATCTTTACAACGTGAAAACATAATAAGGATTACATGAGGTCATTTTCCTGTTTCTGCAACATGCCTCTCACTTTGCTACTGCTACAAAACCTTCTAAATATTCATGGCATATTTTTCAAAAGTCTTCTGGACTCTGTGTTTACATAAAATGTTCTGCTTACTTCTCCAAGGGTCCCCTGAAGGTGAATGCTGAGAAAAATACCCTGGTTCCTGCTCCCAGCTGATAGCTGTATTCAGGTTACCCTCATAACAACGTGACTGTCGCTGGGGCGGCTTTCAACCTAGTGCTTACCATATGTAAGCTTACTCCTATACGGACAGAATCTGAACAATGTCTCATTTTATCACATCAAACTAAAATCTAAGTTTGCTTGTTTGTTTTCAGAAAAACCTAAGTATTTGGGTCATAGTGAATTTACCAACCCTTACATTCTTACATCAGACTTATGTGTTCAAATGGGGCTTTCTAGGGATACACGGAATGGTAGCAGCCACTTTTAAGCATTTTCCTGAGAGATCCTGGGTTGTGTCAGATATGCCTGTGTGCTTTCAGATTATGCTTTCTGTCCTTAACTAGGTGAGATACGTTTTCTGGTACAAGGAAAGTACAGGTATGTCTGAATGTCCTAATCAAAACCAAAACTCTGTACATAATTCCACAAACCAAAGAATATTAAGAAAATGTCTCTCCAGCAGCAAGGTAAGAATCACGACTCAACTTTAATATAATGGAAACTGGAAAATCAAAAAGGTTTATGTGAACATGAAGTCATGTCTGGGTGGTAGGATGACAGGTGATTTTAAAATGTTTCTTTATTCATAGCAAAATTTTATTTTTTTCTACAGTATGCTATTAGTGTGTTATTTAAAAAGATGTACTACTTAAATCATTTTAACAGTGAAAAAGAAACACTAAGTAAATACATTGAGAAAAATGTAAGGAATTCACAAGGCACTCTAGGTTTTGTGATAAAACTTGAGATGAAATTAAGTAAATGTTTAGGATAATACCTGATCCTTCTGAATTCTCATCTCATCTACTTCACTTTCAGCATATTGAGGATCTCTCGCGGGGTCCTTGATATCTTTCAGCATGTTAATACTCTGAAATTATAAATCTCCAAATCACTTAATGCCTATAACCCAAAATTCAATGGCTACCATCTGCCTAAAAAAACCAAGCTCCCATTCCTCAGCCTGCCACGAAGGCTCTCTAGGATTTTCCAAGCTTTTTTCATCACCGCTGAGGCCCACTTCCCATTCCACAGGTCCCCTTTCAGTTGCCTCTCCCTTCTCTAACTGCCAGATAACTCTCTTTGAAAGTGGAGCAGGAACCATGTCTTACTCATCTTTTAACCCCCACAGTGCCTATTTGCATTTTTAGCAGATGTTTAATTGATTTTTGAGCATGAGAGATAAAAACAAAGTGATCATAATAGGCCCTTTGGCACATTTCCTATAACTGTTAGATATAGTGCTAAAAATCTTGCTTTAAAAAATTAGAATTATGTACCTTTGGTGGAAAGAGCTTTTCATATACTTTTTTCCACAACTCCATTGGTGAGTGGGCATCAAGCTTTCCAATGTCATTTTCAGGAACAGGAGGAGATCCTAAAATTGCAAGTTTTACTCCAAATGACTGCATTGATTAAAATATTACAAACTCTACCAATAAAAGAAATGACACTAACAAAGGTATGAATCTTACATCACTCATTTTCCCTCTCCTTAATGTAGTCACTGTTAAAATTTATCCCGACCCAGCAGAGGAAGTCACTGGGACAGATTCTAGTATTGAAAGAAGAGGAGGCAAAGAGTAAACTGGGTGAACTGAAACGCTCATTCTCCACACCCTGTACCTACACCTGTATCTATACCCTGTTAACTAGTAATTCCAGTTCTTGGTAGTGTTTACCCTAGAAACACCTGCAAACTGGTATTGTATTAAGGACTTCACACTGCAGCATCATTTGTTATCAGTGAAAAATTGACCTACAACCAAAATATTCATCACTGGTGAACAGTGCATTAATTACTATGTATAGCCATGCTCTGTAACACAATCCAACAGTTAAAATACGAAATAGACCCATATGTCGGATTAATATGGAAAAACCACTAAGGTAGATTGAATAAAAAGGAGAAATTCCAAAATGATATAGACTGAACATACAATTATGTTAAAGCAAATAGTTTTCTACAGTATATATATGTGTGTGTAAATGCATAAGAAATTGGAAAGAACACAAATTTGCTCCTTATATGTACTCTTTTACCTTTTTACAAGGAGATTATGTATTACTTGTATAATTTAATTTAATTAGAAAAATGTAAAATTTTGCCAACATTTGCAATTTGTAACAGGATATTTCCCATTCTATTTCCAGCCTCTATATTGTTCACCAAAACGGTTTTGCTGGTGCTCTTCCAGGACATGCTTACGACTCTGGTGGGAAAGGCACTAATACATTCCACTGATGTTATTCAGCTTTGCCAAGTTTCACTTGTATTCCTTTGTGTGTCTGTGTGTATATTCAGTTCTATACAATTTTACCACCTGCATAGGTTCCTGTATTTGCTACCACTTAATTCCACTAGCACAAGGAGCTTGTGTTGCCCTTTTACAGACATACCGTCCTCCTTCCCGACCTCTCCCCTGGTCTCCTCAACCACAGTCCTATCCCTACCCTCTGACCACCAGTAATCTGCCTCCATTTCTAAAATATTTTTCATTTCAAAATTTTTTATAAATAGAATCACACTGTATGTAATCTTTTCTAATTGGCTGCTTTTCACTCAGCGTGATTCCCTGGAGAGTCCTCCAGGCTGTGTGTATCAATCGTTCGTTCCTTTTTATGGCTGAGTAGTGTTTCCCGGGACAGAGCACCACTGTTTGTTTAGCCATTCACCTGCTGAACAACTTCTGGGCTGTTTCTAGGTTTTGACTACTACACATAAAGCTGCTGTGAACATCTGTCTAGAGATTTTTGTGTGAAAGTCAAGTTTTCATTTCTCTTGGATAAATGCCTAACAGCACAATTTCTAGGTCATGTGGTACTTACATGTTTAGTTTCATAAGAAACTGTCAAACTGTTTTCTAGAACAGCTGTACCATTTTACACTCCCACCAGCAATGTATGAGAGATCTGTTTTAGCAATTTTGTTAAGTGTATAGTGATAGCTCATTGTGGTTTCAATTTGCATTTCCCTAATGACATTAAATACCTTTCTATGTGCTGCTTTGTTATTTTTATGTCCTCTTCTGAAATGAAATGACTGCTTGTATCTTTTGCCCACTTTTTAATTCTTCGTTTATTTTTCTATTGAGTTTATATATTCTAAACACTAGTCCTTTGTCATATATGTGGTTTGAAATTATTTTCTCCGAGACTGTGGCATGTCTATTCATCATCTTCCCATGGGCTTTCGCAGAGCAAAAGTTTTAAATTCTGATATCTAAATTTTTAAATTGAGTAATTATGATTTTTAAATTGAGTAATTCTGAACTCTATTCTGGCCTCCAACTATTCACAGGGGCAAAAGAATTCCATCAGCATTATCTGTTAGTACACACAGTGATTCTCACTGCTACTGGAATTAGGTTGGCGCTAATGATAATCATAAAAATCCATCTCCATGACCGTTCATTAAACAAAATCATCTCGATTCCTTTCATCCCAATTAATCTATAATTTCATTACAAAGATTTCTATATTTGAAGTCAAGTCACCTTTAGCTTGTAAGACTAATAGAGGATGGGAAATACAAAAAAAAACCCACTACTGCCCATTACAGTGTTAAAAGCAAACTATGACACCTGCCAAGGATAAAGAACTCCGAGGCTCAAAGATCTTCACAAATGAAAACAGCTTCTGTGGGAAGGTAAGGGGCTTGAGATATAAACTCTTAAACTTCCTTTTGATTCAGAAGCCTACAGAAAGTTCAGGAAATACATTCCATTAGATGAGGCATGCTATTTTATAACAACAAATTAAATCACACCTAATTGTTACAATTGTGTTCTTTTTGGTTTATTCTACCACTTTAATCTCTCATATACTTGCCAATTGCCTATAACATGTAGCTTTGAATTTCCTCACTACTCTATGCTTCTAGTTTCTTTAAATCCAAGGAGCTAAAATTTTAAAGTACCTGGAAATCAGTGGGGGAAAGAAAATACATGAAATTTGTTTTTTAGTGGAATAGAGATCAGAAATCAGTCTCTAATATGGTGACATTACTTTCATCACAAACATGTCAATGTGATGCATGTTGCATTAATACTGGGCATGTAAATAAACATACAGGAAATAACAGCAATGATAATGAAACCAGAAAGAGTATGTTGGAGACAAAGTAAACATGGAGTAGGATAAAATCAATAAGCAATTAAAAAAAGATTCAACAATCTTAATAAGTTCACTAACCTATTTGACTGAAAGAATCCAGTCCTGCTGTGATAAACAGTGGTTTATTCTGATCCATGCATATTGACTTGCTATGTGGAAAAGAAAGATTCTAAATTAGTTTAGCAATTGAATTTGCTACGACACTCTTCCATAAACATGAGAGCCATATTATTGGGCTAGTTTTACATTTAGCCACTAATGAGAGCACTGCCCCAAATGAATGAGTATCAATTTAAGAGATTTCAAAAATTAAAAGTGTAGCATAAATAAACATTTTATAGGGAAAAAAAAGTGACAGACCCTATTACCTTAAATCAAAACCAAGAGAAGTCTAAGAAGATACATTCCAAAATTTTCAATTCCATTTCAAATCAATATAATAAAGTAATAATAGAGGGAAGCTACTAAAGTGTAGGAAAGGAGGTAAAGAAATCAGGGAACAAGTATAATATTATCATTATTTTATTCCAGCCTCAAACTAAATGTTATGTAACATTTTGGTTGTTAAATGTGAGAAATATTTAAACAACATAAGAAGCAGGAAATAATATAAAATTATCTGCTTTATGTTGAGTCTTGACAAAATAAATAATAATAAAAACAATTTTAAAAAGAAATGATCCCTTTAAGAACAGCTGTCTGGGTCACTTTCCTGGTCAAGACACAAGAGACTGAATAGAACAATAATCAGATGAGACAAATTTGGCTAATCAATCACTCAATAAATGATATAAAAATATCTTAACAGTACCTTTTGTCAATGCCAAATGCCAACTGGTTGATAACGCCACGTATTTTTAGTAACAGAGCTTCTGACTTGCTGGTAAACTTTAAACAAATCAGGAGAACAAATTCAATGCTCTATTTTCTAATCACAGAAACAGATAAAATAAATATGGCTTTGAACAAGTACAGACTGCAAAGAGAATTACTATTTAGTTGCCCAACAAATACTTCTGTTTGAGTAGACAAAACAAAACCTGAATAAAGAAATCTTAGTAACTTTAACTCGTTCTTCAAACTTAATGAGTACATGATGTGGAAAAGACTTGTGTTTATGCACTAATCATTTTAGCAACTCACACAAGTGGATCATAATCATTGTCAAGTAATTTCTTTAAAACGTATATATAAATGTATGTTTATAGGCTGTATGTGTGTAAACACACTCATTATGGTCTGAAAGAAAATTGTCCAAAATGCAGTGGGGTTGGTTAGAAAATAAGAGGTATACCTCAAAAGTAGCTTTTACATCCAAGGGCACACTGCTGCCTTCCAAAAAGTCATTGTGGGAGTGCAGACTGGTCTAATTACTCAATAAAGTAATTTTTTAACTTCTTTTTGAATTGCTTTTGGTGCTTAAGCTACTTTTTCAGTGCTCGTATATTCCAGGGAGACCATAACCGGAATATTTCAGAGAATGAAAGGGGCTGGGTATTATTAATAATTAAGCGTGACATCAGATCGAAACCAGGACATATGGTTACCCTACAAATGTTTAAAGACTAGATTGGATGCTAGGCTGGGCACGGTGGCTCACATCTGTAATCCCAGCACTTTCTGAGGCCAAGGCGGGCAGATCATGAGGTCAGGAGTTTGAAACCAGCCTGGCCAACATAGTGAAACCCCATCTCTACTAAAAATACAAAAATTAGCTGGGCATGGTGGTGTACGCCTGTTGTCCCAGCTACTCAGGAAGCTGAGGCAGAAGAATCGCTTGAACCCGGGAGGTAGAGGTTGTGGTGAGCCAAGATCACACCACTACACTCCAGCCTCGGGCAACAAGAGTGATACTCTGTCTCAAAAANAAAAAAAAAAAGACTAGATTGGATTTCTGTAGATACCAAAAGTCATTCATAGCCAAGCCAAAATGACTAAAAGGTATGGAAGCAGGAAAAACAACTTTGAACTGAAATGAAATGTAATTATGAAGCAACGATATCAGCATTATGGTTCCAATGGCTATTGCACAAGATAAGCTTCATTCTAGATTAAGAACAGAAAGTTCTTAATGCTCTCGGAGAAAGTATTCAAAAGAGAATGCTCATGTATATGTAAGATCTGATACATTTATTTAAAAGAAAGCCATTGAAATAGTTGTAATGCTTCTACTGAGACAATGTTTAAAAATACCTATAGAAAACTTTAACTGAATTTAGAAATACAACTGCTCTGTTTAATTTTATTTTCTTTATGAGAAAGGAAAAACCTAGTCACAAACATATTTCATAGAACATAGGGCTGGGAGAACATTAGAAGTTTTCTAACCCAACTTCTGCATCTGGTGCATCAATCACTTGTAAAACATCTTTCACAAAGAGCTGTAGGCCTTCTGCTTAAACAAACTCAATGCCTGGGAATTCATCTCCCAAAATAATTCACTCTGTTTTCAGACAATGGCAGTATTAGAAAGTGCTTTCATCTTTTGAGTAAACTCTATTGATTCCTTTTTCTTTTTCTGGACCTTAGAATAGGAAAGAATGAATTTAGTCACTTTTCCATGGAATATTCCAACTATATAAGAGAGTTATCACATTGTAGATGATATTCTACTGGTCCTCATACATAATAATTTTAAGTCCCTGCCATTCTGGTGGTTCTCCTCTGAATCTGGTCCTACTTATTAGTCTTCTCCTCTTCTTTTGGGGGGCGAGGAGCATGTTGGTTTTTTAAGAGATGGGGTCTTGCTCTGTTACCCAGGCTGGAGTACCGCAGTGCGATCATAACTCACTGTACCTCGAACTCCCAGGCTCAGGTAATCCTCCTGCCTCAGCCTCCTGAGTAGCTAGGACTACAGGCATGCACTATGATGATTGGCTAATTTTTTTTTTTTTTTTTGTAAAAATAGGGCCTCATTTTGTTGCCTAGGCTGGTCTTGAACCCCTGGCCTCAGGTGATCCTCCCACCTCACCCTCCAAGTGTTGAGATTAGAGGCAAGAGTCACCACACCCGGTCTGTTTTTTGTTTTTTATTAACTTAATTAGATTGTTCATAATATTGAATCAATACTCTCAACGGCACTACAAAGAATCAACTATAGTGTTGGGGGAAATAGCCCTGCTAAATATCATGGAATTTTGCAAAGCAGTACCCAACTTTCTTCCTTAAATGGGGCAGAGGGTAAGAGGAGATGTGAAACTGAAAGATGAGGCATTGATAACTTTGGCTGCATTCCTCTTGAAAGACCTTATGGTTCCTTTGGTGGTCCAGAAGTACTCTACTAACCCAAACCCTGTTCCTTTGGGCTTACTGAAAGCTGAGATGAAGCCCTTCTCAAAGCCATTCCCTGGTTCCTGATTTTGTTGGATCTCCTGGGCCACGGTTAATCCCAGGCTCGCCGTGGCCTGCGTTGACCTGGCTTCATCTAAATTTGTACCCCTGAGACCAGACTGGGTCCTCCATCAAACATAATGTGTTCCTAAAGAAATAAAGGGATTTCCCTCAGCTAACTTTAACCAGAATTAAATGTGTGACCCTCTCTAGTGGCAAAAATAAGTAACTGCAAGATCTTTACCTCTGTACCCTTGATGAGCCATTCACTCCTCTCCTCTCAAAATAGTAAAGAAGAACATTTTCCAAAGTACCATGTCAACCTTATACATAAGCAAACACAATTCAAACATAAAAAGTGATCCTTTTTAAGAAAATACATAATGAAATGTATTTGTAATGTTTTGAAAGGTATACAAACTGAGAATACATATTTTGTACATTTTACTTTCAGTCAAAATATTCTAGCCATGAAGGCAAGGGGCTAGACCATGTTGTCTCTAGGTTCCTCGGAGTGCTTTAATTTGGAGGAAAAAAAGAGACCATTAAATAATTATTCAAATGTAAAGAAAAAATTTTTCTTCTTTGAGACAAGGTCTCCCTCTGTTGCCCAGTCTGGAGTGCAGTGGTATGATTATGGCTCACTGCAGCCTTGAACGCCTGAGCTCACATCATCCTCCCACCTCAGCCTCCCAAGTAGGTGGGACCACAGGTGTGTGCCACCATGCCCAGCTAATTTTCAAATTTTTTTGTACAGACAGAATTCTCGCCATGTTGCCCAGGATGGTCTCAAACTCCCGAACTCAAGTGATCCTCTCACTTTAGCATCCCAAAGTGCTGGGATTACAGGCGTGAGCCACTGCACCCAGCTGGAAATTTTTTAAATAAAAATATTTTTCTATTTTACTATATTAAAGGACATTTAGTAAAGTTTGGTCCTGCTATGGGAGATAATGATAACAGGAATTATAAAAGCCAACATTTACTGTTGGATAACACTGTTTTAGGCCTGGTGCTAAGCATTTCACATGTACCCCCTCTTTGAATCATCACAACAACCCTATGAAGAAGATACAATTTTTCTCCATTTTACCTTGGAGGACAATGAGGCTTAAGGGAAATTAAGTGACTTGCCTAAGATCACATGTCTAATAAATGGTCACCCTGAGATTGGAACCCAGGAAGCATGACTTCAGATTTCATGTTTTTAACTTTTACAACAAACAGCACTTTTTTTAAAGACCCGTTACCCTCAATAAAAAAAACTGTTAAAGTTGCTTTTTGTTTTTCTTTTAAGGGAATATAGATTCTAATTCTTAAGGGGATGCTAAAAATGAATAAATAGATTATCAACTTATCTCTTTAAGCTTGATTGGGGTTTATGGATATAAGCAATTCAGAACTTCTGCTCCAAAGAAGGGGGAGACCATCTAGCAGTGCATGTTCAACAGGTACATTATCAAATGCTCTGTAAGGAGAGGTCTTCGGCAGTGGGAAAGCAATGGGACCATGCACATTAGCAAAAGCATTTATTCCTCATAGTTGTGTATCAAGTTGCTAATCTCCCCAAATTTGGTACTGTCCATTCAAGCCCAAAGAACAAGAAACGTACAAACCATTAATGATGCTCCATAATAATGTGCAACAAATCGAAGTGTCTTGCATATTACCTTTCTCTTCTCAGACTCAAAATCCTGTAGAAATACGTTATTTAAAAATAGTCAAGGAAACAAAATATCTATAGCAGGAAGATTCAAATTATTAAATGTAGAAGTAGATTATTTCTTATTTTTTTAAACTCACCTTCAGGAATAGGATTCCATTACCTTGATATTTGTCTCATAGAGGGTCAAACAACAGCTGCAGCCTTCTTAGAGCTACAACTATCAGATCTTTCTTTGTTTAAATACTTAGCTCAATAGAATTCAGATATAAGCACACATTTCATAGTGTAGAACACCCTAACCATTCTCTGACAAGCAAAGATAAGAAGAAACTAATTTTCTACTTCCTTCAATTTAAAAGTTGGCAAGTAAGTCCTATTCCCCAGTGACTGAGTTGAAGATTTTTTTCTTTTCTTTTTAAGAGACAGTGTCTTACTGTGTAACCCAGGCTGGAGTACAGGGGTGTGATTAAAGCTCACTGTAACCTCAGATTTCTGGGCTCAAGTGATCCTCCCTCTTCAGCCTCCCAAAGTGCTGGGACTACTGGCATAGGCCATTGTGCCCAGCTAGATTCATTTTCTAAACCTGCCTATCCCCATTCTAATCATTGCATTTATTTTCTTTACCTATTTTTTTCTGTCCCTACTATATCTTCTTTTCCAAAATCTTTAAGATATGTGACTTATTAACCTGTTCTTTCAAGAATTACTTTTTTTATTTTGACACTATTTTGGTACCTTCCTCATAAAAAGCACAGCCATGTATGTACAATGAACTCAGCTAGAAGAGCTGAGAAGAGCTTACCTGAAAAATATCATATTTACTTCCAATAATGACCAGAGGTACTGGAAATGGGTCAATTATTTCACGATCCTGTTAATAAACACATTGCACTGATTTATTATAATTCTCTCATTTTTTTTCTTTTTTTGAGATACAGTCTCACTCTGTAGCCCAAGCTGGACTGCAGTGGCATGATCTCACTGCAACCTCCACCTCCTGGGTCCCAGTTCAAGCAATTCTCCTGCCTTAGCCTCCCAAGTAGCTGGAATTACAGGCACGTGCTATGATGCCCAGCTAATTTTTTTTTTTTTTTTTTTTGGTATTTTTAGTAGAGATGGGGTTTCACCATGTTGGCCAGGCTGGTCTTGAACTCCTGACCTTGTGATCTGCCTGCCTTGGCCTCCCAAAGTGCTGAGATTACAGGTGTGAGACACCACTCTTGGCTGATTTATTATAATTCTTTATTGTTATGTGCTCAACAATTTCTATTTACTTCCAAAAATTTTCAGTCTCTTCATAGATGTTTACTTAATTTGCATGACATAGAATTTGTTCGACATAGAATCTGTTCCAGTATTTAACTTTTCACTTCCTAAGCAATGTTTCATAAGTGTAAAACTAGAAATGGCAATTCCCTAAATTACTATGATATTTATTCTTTTCCCTTTTCCACCCTTTTATTTTCTTATATATAAGATTACCTTTCTGGGTTTTTTTTTTTTTTTTTTTT